GGAAGTTCCAGAACTGGGTTTGAATCTGGGTCAATCTGTCCTTGAAATTCCACTATGTTACTCTGCAAATATATGTGACTGGTGGGAGGGATAGATACCAAATTTAATAGTGATTATGGGTGATAAAAAATACAGATGATTTAAATGTTCTTTTACTTTTCTGATCTGTAATAAATATGTATTTTATACTAGTTATTTAAAAAATGTCTTCCCAAGAGTTTATTCTCTATCAAACCAAATGTTTATAAGGTACCTAAAGAAAGCGTTAGGGTTGCTAGTGTCAGAATTTGAAAACAGTGTTTTCTATTTTCAATAGTTTATTATTTTCAATTTATGTAATACATGTTATCACTTGTCCTTTTAAACTAATTTATGAAAAAAATTTTATAAGATCTATGAAATCATTAGTTGAAATACTTTAACATTAATTTTCTAGTACTCTTTAAAATAAACATATAACTATCCAATATTTCTGCCTCAGCCTTCTGAGTAGCTGAGGTTACTGATGCTTGCCACCATGCCCATCTAATTTTTGTATTTTTTTTTTTTTTTTTTTTAGTAGAGATGATGTTTTGAGGCAGGTTGATCACTTGAGGTCTGGACTTAGAGATAACATATTTTAAAAAGCCCACTCTGTAGAATATGAAACTGGACTGAAAACCATACAAATTAGGGCCTACATTTTAGCAAAAATGAGTTAAAATCTAAGAAAGATGAGAGGGGATGATTTTAGGGAGAAGTTAGCAGATAATTTTAAGTATGTTGATACTTCATTATCCTACTTAAATAGGATAATTTAAAGTATGTCAGTAGTTGGAAGACAAGCAGTGAGCAAGGACAGCTGACAGAGCAAGTCTTCAAATAACTGGGCTTACAGTAGCACAAATAAAGTGTTAGTATTGGAAAATAATACAAAAACCTTTCTGAGTTGAGAAGGCAAGAAAATGTATGAAGACAGAGAAACTGCACAGTGGAGATACATTAGACAGAACTATTTTATATCAACTGGGAAGAACATAACTTTTTTTTTTTTTTGAGAAGGAGTCTTGCTCTGTGGCCCAGGCTAGAGTGCAGTGGTGTCATCTTGGCTCACTGCAACCTCTGCCTCCCAGGTTCAAGTGATTCCCTTGCTTCAGCCTCCTGAATAGCTGGGATTATAGGCACATGCCACCATACTGGTTAATTTTTGTATTTTTAGTAGAGATGGGGTTTCGCCATGTTAGCCAGGCTGGTCTCGAACTCCTGACCTCAGGTGATCTGCCCCCTTCAGCCTCCCAAAGTGCTGGGATTACAGGCGTGAGCCACCATGCCCAGCCACAGACACTTATACATAACATGTAAAACCATTCATATCAAAATTCATTTATAGGGAGCTTAATTGTCTCAGAGCTAATTTGCTTGGTAAATTTTCCTAGTCATCTGTAGCACCTCTGTTAATAGTTCAAGACCAATTTCAGAATCACTGAATTCAGAATCAGATTTAATAGAATCCCTGGTGTTATCTTACCGTGCCTTCTGTGATTTCCAGGTTTTTCTTGAGTGCATGAGTGGCAAACACTTCTTCCCAGTAGAACTCTCTAACAGCCACAGAAATTTATGAAAGTTATTGGTGTAGGTTACATTTAAACAGATCAGGTCAATGAAGACCTAGCTTTACTTAGAAGACGACTTTATGAAGTAGTCTGTTATAAGACTTCTTTAAGTAGCAAGATCTCTAGTAAAGGCATTTTTTGCAGTTAAAAATGTATTTGTCTTAATCTAATTTCATATGCCTTGCTCTGAGCCTTTGTACATTCTCTTCCTTTCCCATTAACTGACTTTTACTCATTTTTTTTTTCAGTCTATGCTAAGCTTCAAAGTTACCAGCTGAAGTCTCCTATTATTTTCTTCATGGCACTTACTACAAAATAAATTTTTTTTTTTTTTTTTTTTGAGACGGAGTCTCACTCTTGTTACCCAGGCTGGAGTGCAATGGCGCGATCTCGGCTCACCGCAACCTCCGTCTTCTGGGTTCAGGCAATTCTCCTGCCTTAGCCTCCTGAGTAGCTGGGATTACAGGCACGCGCCACCATGCCCAGCTAATTTTTTGTATTTTTAGTAGAGACGGGGTTTCACCATGTTGACCAGGATGGTCTCGATCTGTTGACCACGTGATCCACCCGCCTCGGCCTCCCAAAGTGCTGGGATTACAGGCTTGAGCCACTGCGCCCGGCCTACAAAATAATTTTTAATGTAATTCTTTTAATGTATACATCCCCTGACAGATTGCAAGCTTCAAAAGGGAGGAGAGAGGCCATATATGTTGGGTTCTCTGTAATATTAGCACCCAAGTAATATAGTGTTTGGCCTATAGTAAGAGTCCAAGAAATATCAATGACATCATTAAGATCTTGTTGTTAAAAGAATACAATCCCTTGGTAAGACATAATAAGAAATCTTTGCGTATACATCCTTACCTAAACTCCAGTAAGCCCTATAGCTCTCAATTCACAGATCAATGTACCATTTCTCATACAGATTCTAATAACTGGATCTTGCCCTTAAAAAGAAACAGTGATAGGGAAGAATTTGAACTGGTTGAATACAAATCTCTAAATTACTGCACCTCTGCATATCCATTACCTACATCCCCTTTTCCAATGTGCAAGAGATAAATGGGGGAAACAAGTGAAAGAGAAATTATCCTCTGAAAGGAGGATTACTAGAGAGCACTGTTATATTTGCCAGCATACAAAAATGGAGATTTGGAATGCCACTCACCATCAAGCAACTGAAAAGTGTTTTAACAATTCAGCATTACAGGGAATAACTTTAGAAGCATGTAAGAGTGACCAAAATGTAGTTTTAAGGATAATTTCAAAGACAAGGAAGATATTAAGGAGAATAGCTGCTGTGGCAATTTTAGGACTGAGCACTAGAACCTTTTACAGCAGTGCAGGGAAGAGGCAGGAGGAGGAAAGTTCGACAGAGGTGCATGATAAAGGAAAATATGCTCATATCCACTAATAAATACTGCATGCTGACAAGAGTGCATTACCAAAATTGAGAGAAGAGTAATCAGTTGGTAATTAAAGTGGTGAAAAGAGGAACCACTAGATCAAGGCCTGAGACTGCCACAATGAAGGCAGGAAAGAGAAAGAAGGGCACAAAGTTACTTCTATCAGCTGTATCCATAAGACAGAGATAAAAGGTGGCCAAAATGCTAGGAAAGCTCAAGGTGTACCAAACAACATTTTGATAGTAGGGAATAAAATAGCACAGAGAAGCAGGTTATCAGAGGGCAGGACACACAGTACCAGCAGGGAGAGGTTACAAGCCTTGAGTGCAGTACACTGGAAGCATTCACAACTGAGTGGTGCTGATCGCTGGCTTCACTTCTTTTAACTGATTCTTCTCCCTCACTACATTAATCTTCCTAGCATTTTTCAAAAGCCCTATCTGAATTTAGTTTGTTTTTTTTTTTTCACATTTGTACTGTAATGTGCATTTAATATCACATAGGAAAGACTCAAATTTATCAATCTGCTGCACTGCTAAAAGTCAGCTGAGTGGCCTGGCTAACATGGTGAAACCCCATCTCTACTAAAAATATGAAAATTAGCCAGGCATAGTGGCATGCGCCTGTGGGCCCAGCCACTTGGGAGGCTGAGGCAGGAGAAGCGCTTGAACCGAGGAGGAGGTTGCAGTGAGACGAGATCACGCCATTGCACTCCGGCCTGGGAAACAAGAGTGAAACTCGTTCTCAAAAAAAAAAAAAAAAAAAAAAGCGAGTGAGGATACTATAGGAGACCATCAACGGGGGCCAAGCACGGTGGCTCAAGCCTTTAATTCTAGCACTTTAGGAGGTAGAGGCAGGAGAATCGCTTGAGCTCAGGAATTCGAACTTACAGTGAGCTATTATAATGCCACTGCATTCCAGCCACGACGACAGAGCAAGCCTGTCTCTTAAAAAAAAAAAAAAAAGTCACCACCTTATTTAATTTAGCTTTTGAGAACACTGGGCGATTAACAAAAAATTACGTACATCCAGGTGCTGGTACGTTTTTCATCATCATATGACAATCAAATTGGGCATGACCAAAAACTAGAAGTGTGTGGACTGGCACACGTTGAGAGTTTAAGACTGACAGGTGGAAGCAAAAGGTGCGTGCTGATACCAAAGTGAGAGCTTGTCTCTTACAGAATCCCAGACTCAGCAGCACATTTCCCAACGGGAAGGGCTTCTCTGTCTGGAAGAGGCCTTCACTTCATTCTCATAAGCCAAATATGATCCTGGCTTTGGGTAAAGCTTCAAGTCCCGGCTCTCACTGGATGAGCCGGCTTCCTTTAGGCAAGTAGATTAGGGGTCGCCACTTCCTCGTCTCGGGGTAAGGGCAAACAAGACGGTAGGCTTGGGCGTTGTGACGACGGCGACAGGGACGCTGGGAAAAGGGGTAGAATCCACGCCGTTTTGCGGCCCCCGGGCCTGTCAGCTCCTCACCCGCCCACCCACCCGCCCGCATTCTTCGGTCTAAACTTACCAGGTGGAAGCTACAACTCTAGGCAGGAAGTAACTAACTGTGTTGGGTCCAGTCGAGTTCCGCTGAGCTTCTTAGAGCCGCTGCCCGGAAGAGGCTGAAACCCAGTGGCCGCAGCAGTTGCCACCGCCTCTGTTTCTGGGGGGTCTCGGCTCCATCGCTGGCTGCGGAGTCTGAGGGCACGTGACCGGAAATACCAAGGCGGGCCCTTGGGCACGTGATTCAAGAGCGCGGCCGCCATGACACCTTCCGCTAGTTCCCTCCCTCCCCCACGGGTTCCCGCCTGTTTCGTTTCCTCTCTCCGGTCTCAAGCGGTGAAGGGTCCTGGGATCCTGACTGACCCAACCATTTGCCCTAGAGCTCCTCCGGTTCCAGTCGGCGCCGTGTCTTCAGCCGGCAACGGCCCTCCGCCTGCAGGCCGTAGACAGCGTAATCTCGACCGCGGCCTGAGGGGGAGGGACGACGCGCAAGGAGGGGCGTGACTCGTCACGTGACAAGGAAGTGCCGTTAGTAGCGTTGTCCCCAGGTCCGCGGCTCTCCTGGATGACGTCAGCAAGGAAGGGGGGAACGGGAGGAGAGACTGGAGACTGAAGTTCGCGTTCCGCTGTTAGTGCATGGTGAGTTCCCTGGTGCTAAGCCGGGAGACAAGATCCACTGAGACCTGCGAGGTACTGGCCTGGATGTGGTGGAGCTGGGACCTCCGGGCTGCTAGTCTGTGAGCCTGGCTTTGAAAATTGGTTACTGGGTCTCCTCTCGAGATCTCAAGATATTAAGGCTACTGCTGTTAAAAAGGTAGTCGTTCCACTAGGCAAGGAGCTTTTTGTGGCCAGGGGTTGTGTTTTGTTCATCCATGTGTCTCCAGCGGTGTGTTCAGTGCCTGGAACATAGTAGGCACTCAGACCGTTGAATGAATGTATGAATGAGTCGGTCGCCATTTGTCTGTCTGGGGCGGAGAGTTGTTTTCTGATCATTTCTTCTTGTATAGAACTTCCCTTTGTGAAAATGAGGGAATCTGCAACTTCCCATTCTCATTTCTTCTATTTTTGCTCTCTGTCTTATTTCTTTCTCCTCTTCTTTCTTCCACGCACCTACTGGGGCAAAAAAACATAGTTGCATTTGATGTGTGGGCAGCGAACACTACTGTTTTACGATAATGGAAAGATGATGAGATTTGGATTCAGGAGACATGTATTCTTATCTCAGCTCTACCATTTATGAGCTCTCACAGAAGTTGTTTCATTTACTTTGGTTAAGCATTTGTCGCCAACTTCTATGTTCTTAGTTTTTGGTAGAGTGACCTCACAGAAGTAACGTTTAAACTCAGCTTTGCAGAAAGATAGGGTTTTGGTAAATGGGGGAAGATTCCATAAACAGCATATATTAAACCATGGAGGCACAGCAAATTTATAGAATGAAAGAGAAAAAAAAGAGTTGAGTCCAATGTAGTTGGAGAATAGGAGAGAGGTTAAGATGGGAAATAAGGCTGGAAAAAGAAATAGGGACGAGATAACAGATTATAAAGAAGTGGAGCTATTGAAGGTTTGTACAATTTTAAGTATATACCTTTAAAACTTCATTATGGAAAATTACAAATGTAGACAAAGGTAGGATAGTAAAATGACCCCTCAGGTACACTTAACCCAACTTGAACAATTATCAGCATTCTGCTGTTCCTGTTTATACTGAGTTTGTACATTTCTAGATACTTTTTATATCCATCGTTGCATTTGATTAATAGCAGCTTTCAATTTGCTTAGCTACTGGCTAAGAAGATTTTATTTATGTAAACAATTTCTTTGGGTTTTAGTTGACTACTTGCTCTGCTGAATCAGTAGTGTGACATGGCCACTTAAACACAGCTAATACTCTTTTAGGCTGTAGTATAGAAACATAGTGTCTAGATCCAGGAAGTTAGTGTTTCTACTCTATTCTGGGCTTATCCAACTACTTAAGGAGTATTATGCTGAGTTCGAGGCACCTCATTTTTAGGCAAACTAAAGTGCCTCTGTAGAAGGTTGACTGAAACAGAGACAGGGTTGGAAAATGTCATGTCGAGTGATGGTGGAACTAGGAATGTTAAATTTTTAGAAGACCTAATAATGCTTTTCAAATACTGAAGGATTGTTTTGGAAAGAGACAGCTTGTTTCCTTCAACTGTAGAAGCTACATACTATTGGTATGGTAGAGTTCTAAGTGATCAGGCTTCAGCACTGTATTAAAAAGAACCTTGTAACAGTAGTGAGCCCTGTGGAGGAGTAGAATTGGCAGCTTCATGACAGTGTGCTTTCTTTCTATTGCTGAAAATGTTCAGGGATCTAGGGCAAAACTAATTTCTGAATTAGGTGGACATGTTCACTGAATTACCTATAAGTCTTTTTCCACCTTGAGAATTCTAGGAAGCAGGGCTCATGTGGGATCTTGAAAGCTGGGTATGTTTGGATAAAAAGACCTGGAAGGGAAGCAGTCATTTCAGGGAGAGTAAACATAAATGTATAAAGTTCTAGTTGGTTTAACACTGTCATCCAGCAGCTTCTCTGAGAATTGGCATTGCTTATGCTGTTTTTATTTATCTCTGTTAAATTCTTTTTTTTTTTTTTTTCAAGTAGAACTTAACTCTTAACTAGGTGTGTCCTCCTCCCCACCATTGTATAATAACTTCCAGGACTTTCTGTTTTCATAGAGATTAAGGCAAAATGACCTATCTACTTCGGAGTTTCTTTGTTTCAAGATCACAAGTAGAAGAGACACTATAATATTATCACTCCTTTCCATCCCTTTTTGATCCTGTACCATGGTTTTATCTTTTTCTTGAATCTTCAGTCCCTTTTGTTCTAGACTCTACTTTTAGCAACTAGCTACAAATCTGTTTAAAAATCTCCCCATTGATGAAGTTAGGAGAGGTTGTCTCCTTTTCCACCAGACTTATGAGTAATTGAAATGTTTTATTCTTATTTTCATACCACCCACCCCCTTTCTCAAGTCTTTGTTTTCCAGTGTCTAGCTACCCACAGTACAGAAATTATGTGACCTCCCAACACCAAATTCTTTAATTCCTTTCTGTTCCCTGCCAAATTAAGTTCAGATTCTTTGGTTTGAAAAATTTAAAGTATTTTGTAACTGTGGCCCAAATTATGATTACAGATTTTTCTTTCATTATTCCATTGCTTGTATCCTGTGTTTCAACCAGACTAAACTGTGTTCTTCTAGTATATTCTGCATTTTTTCTTCTTTATATATTTGCTTATTGCTGCCCTTTCTGTTTTCCTTGAGATAAAAGCCTAGTCAGCTGCACCCAGTGGCTCACGCCTATAATCCCTGCACTTTGGGAGGCTGAGGTGTGTGGATCAGGAGGTCAGGAGTTCAAGACCATTCTGGCCAAGATGGTGAAGCCCCATTTCTACTAAAAATAGGAAAAATTAGTCAGGTGTAGTGGCATGCACCTGTAATCCCAGCTACTTGGCATGCACCTGTAATCCCAGCTACTTGGGTGGCCGAGGCAGGAGAATCACTTGAACCTGGGGAGTGGAGGTTGTAGTGAGCTGAGATCATACCATTGCACCGCAGCCTGAGTAACAAAATGAGACTCCGTCTAAAAAAAAAAAAAAAAAAAAGCCTAGTCAGCATCAGTACCACTTTCTATAGGAAGTTTTCTGCTAGGTTGGAGAGAGGCCTAGTGGCCGATTCCTATTAAGAACTATTAAATTGTTAGCTGATAAATGTACGGTTTGCTGATAAGTTAATAAATTAAGGCCTTTACAGAAGATTGCATTTTAACGAGAGACTCCTAAAGACAGAAGATTTACTACTCATAGAAATGCAGCAGCAGGGTTGCTGTTTTGCCTCAGAGGACATAGGCCAATTTTCCTAAATCCTACTCTGCCTATTTTGCCTACTCACACTGTTAGATAACACTGGAGGATAGGATTATGGAGGGCCTTGAGAATCCCTATCTGACACTGTGGGAGTTTGAGTCAGGAAATGACACAATGTAAACATGCTGTGGTATACAATGTTACCTGTATGTGTTTTCTTTCTAAGCACCTGTATAGTGGGAACTTTCTCATGTTTCCCTATGTTTCCCACATATTTGGTAAATGCATGTTAAATGAATGGTGGGCTTCTTAAATTATATTTTTGTGGATTTTATTCAGGTGAGGAATACTGTACCTATCATTCAACAAGTTTCAGCTTTCTGGCTAAATGACTTTTGTGCCAGTGATACCAGAGTCCTACAGCCATGTTCTCGCAGAGTTTGAGTCTCTGGATCCGTTACTCTCAGCCCTGCGGCTGGACTCCAGTCGTCTAAAGGTGAATTTCTTGATCCTTGTATCAGTTTCATTTTCATGTGCTCTCTGTTACATGTGCCCCTACCCTCTAGTTCCTTACGTTTTGTGGAATATTGGGTGTTCTTACCTGTCCTAGTCATACTTTTGTGGGGAAAAAAAAGAAGAAAATAAACTTCTTATCTGAGGAATGTGAGCCCCTTTAAATCATCAGGCCCAGGCTGGGAATGGGGCTCATGCCTGTAATCCCAGCACTTTGGGAGGCCAAGGTGGGCAGATTATTTGAAGCCAGTAGTTTAAGACCAGCCTGGCCCACAAGGCAGAACTCCGTCTCTGCTAAAAATACAAAACTTAGCCAGGCAAGGTGGCACATGCCTGTATTCCCAGCTACTTGGGAGGCTGAGGCACAAGAATCACTTGAACCCGGGAGGTGGACTTGCGTGAGTTGAGGTCATGCCACTGCACTTTAGCCTGGGCAAGAGTGAGACCCTGTTTCAAAAAAAAAAAACAAAACAAAACAAAAATTATCAGGCCCAGAGAAGCATTGGAGTGAAGCAGCAGTCTCATATTACTCTTGCTTGAACTAAATAATTACCTCTTGAAGCTACTTGCTATTATGTGGGCACTAGGCTAACTGATGCCAACCAGTGATAAAATGCAGTATACCTTATAGTTCAAGAGTGTATAGCCAATCACTAGTCAGTGTTATTTCTATAAACCAATGAGAATTCCTGACAAACAGCCTCTTTTGAAAACTCGAGTTTCTTGTTTTCCAGAGTATTCCCCAAGGCAACTTCGAAGTATGTCCTAGGCTGCAGTCCTCAACCTTGGCCCAAATAAACTTGTTGTTAATTTGTCCTCAACCATCTTCTTTTAGCTTGACACTTTATATAGCAGTAACATTTTCATAGCTCTTTTTTATTTTTGAGCTGTCTTTTGAATTCTAATTTACCTCCCCAGAAACTGTGATGCTGACTTGCGTCATTTTTCCCCATAAGTGTTTTGCTGTCTTCTCTCAGAAAGTAATGTATTTGATTGAGTATAAAGTGGTAGGCCAGGCATGGTGGCTCACACCTGTAATCCCAGCACCTTGGGAAGCCAAGGCGGACGGATCACGAGGTCAAGAGATTGAGATCATCCAGGCCAACATGGTAAAACCCTGTCTGTACTAAAAAATACAAAAAAATTAGCTGGGCATGGTGGTGCGCACCTGTAGTTCCAGCTACTCGGGAGGCTGAGGCAGGAGAATTGCTTGAACCCTGGAGGCAGAGGTTGCAGTGAGCCGAGATTGTGCCACTGCACTGCAGCCTGGTGCCTGGTGACAGAATGAGACTCTGTCTCAAAAGAAAAGAAAAGAAAATGGTATAAATGAGTATATCTCACAAAGACCAAGAGAAAAGGGTCTCTTTACCCTGTGAAGGTTTGCTGAAAATCAACTAATAAAAGTAAGATTTAGTAGGAAAAAAGGCATGTAAAATCTTCTTTTCTCTCTTTTTGTTTTCTTTTGAAACAGGTTCTTTCTATTGCCCAGGCCCGAGTGCAGTGGGAAGATCATAGCTCACTGTAACCTCAAACTCCTGGGTTCAAGCAATCCTCCTGCCTCATCCTTCTGAGTAGCTATGACTAAACACAGTTGATACCATGCCAGGCTAATTTTAAAAAAGTTTTTATAGAGATAGGGTCTTGCTATGTTGCCCAGGCTAGAATACAATGGTGAGACCATAGCTCATGGTAGCATTGAACTCCTGGCCTCAAGCAATCCTGTGCCTTGGTCTCCCCCAAACACTGGGATGACAGGAGTGAGCCACCATGCCCGGCCCTGTGTACCCTTTTTCATAGAGAAGTGGGGATATGGAGAATGTAGACGATTGTTTTGAGTGGCAATAAATCATTAGGGAAATGAATAGATGTAGCAAGGGGGAGGCAGACATGGGAAAATGAGGGATGGAGTTGCACAGGAACAATCTGATTTATGCAGGTAAAATCCCCCAGATACTCTTTTGGAGCTGCCCTCAGGAATATAAATGAAAAGCCTATCTGAGCATGATGAAGACTCCCAGTCTCTTCTCTAATGGTTGATGTTTCTTGGTTATTTGATGAGATCCCTAGGGAAAGGGTTTTGGACAATTGCATTTCTTTTGAAAAGAAGCTTTCTTTCTCTTTTCTTCTTTCTTTTCCTTTCTTTTTCTTTTTCTTTTCTTTTTTGAAACAGAGTCCATTGCCCAGGCTGGAGTGCAGTGGCACGATCTTGGCTCACTGCAGCCTCCACTTCCTGGGTTCAAATGAGTCTTGTGCCTCAGGCTCCTACGTAGCTGGGATTACAGGCACCTGCTGCCATGCCCTGCTAATTTTTGTATTTTTAGTAGAGACGGAGTTTAGCCATGATTTGGCCAGGCACATCTCAAACACCTGGCCTCAGACAATCCTCCTGCTTCCTCCCGAACTACTGGGATTACAAGCGTGAGCCACTGAGCCTAGCCCCTTTTGGAAAGAAGCTTTCTTGGTCAGATAAGGAAATTCCTCTGGAGAGAGTCCCTCTCTGTGCTTGGTGGAGGGGTGATAACAAGACAGGGTTAAAGGGACTTTGATTCTGAGGCAGCTTCTTAGGACTGTCAGCATGTCAAAACTCCATATTTTGGGGTATTGGTTGCTGAGCCCCGCAACCCCATTACATTTTGAATAACATGAACCACTGCAGTTATACTAAGGTCATTCCAAAACAGGGAATCTGGTATAACTCATTTTAGGGAGCAAAGCCAAAGTTAGTTAGCTCTGGGCACAATGTCGACCTAAAAGGAAGAAGCCGAGGCAAGTACCCTGGCTTGGTGGCTCAAGCCTGTAATCCCAGCAACTTAGGAGGTGGAAATGGGAGGATTGCTTGAGCTCAGGAGTTTCAAATCAGCTTGGGCAACATGGCAAAACCCCATCTTTACAAAAAATAGTAAAATTAGGCCGAGATGGGTGGATCACTAGGTCAAGAGATGAAGACCATCCTGGCCAACATGGTGAAATCTCATCTCCACTAAAAATGAAATATTAGCTGGATGTGGTGGTGCATGCCTATAGTCCCAGCTACTCAGAGGCTGAGGCAGGAGAATCGCTTGAACCCAGGAGGTGGAGGTTGCAGTGAGCCAAGATCGCACCACTGCACTCCAGTCTGGCAACTGAGTGAGACTCTTATCTCAAAAAGCAAAAAACAAAAAAACAAACAAAAAATTAGCTGGATGTGGTGGTGGGCGACTGTGGTCCCAGCTACTAAGAAGGTGAATTGGGAGGATTGTTTGAGCCAGGAAGATTGAGGCTGCATTGAGCTGTGATCGCTCCACGCACTCCAGCCTGGGTGACGGTGAGACCCAATCTCAAAAGGAGTAAAAAAGACTGAAAAGCAAAACTGAGGCAAAGGCAAAAATAATATAAATAGTTTATTAGGGCCAAGCTTGAGGATTACAACCTGGCCACATAGATACAAGTTGGTTTGAATAATACACTTTGATTAGCAGCAAGTGGATTTTTTTTTTCTTTTTTGAGATGAGTCTTTCTCTGTTGCCCAGGGTGGAATTCAGTGACACCATCTCAGCTCTCTGCAAACTCTGCCTCCCAGGTTCAAGCGATTCTTGTGCCTCAGCCACTGAAGAGGCTGGGATTACAGATGTCTACCACCATGCCTGGCCAATTTTTACATTTTAGTAGAGATGGGGTTTTGCCATGTTGGCCAAGCTGGTCTCAAATACCTGGCCTTGAGTAATCCATCTATCTTGACCTCCCGAAGTGCTGGGTGGATTATTTTTTGAGATGGGGGGGGAGTGGGAGGGTCTTACTATGTTGCTCAAGCTGGAGTGCAGTGGCTGGCTATTCACAGGTTTCATAGCTGAGTCATAGCACACTGCAGTGCACTGCAGCTTTGAACTGGCATCAGGCAGTCTTCCTGCCCCAGCACCTCAAGTAGCTGGGACTACAGGCATGTACCACACTAGATGGCCCAGCTAATTTTTGTATTTTTTTTTTTTTTTTTTGTAGAGTTGGGGTTTTACTGTGTTGCACTGGCTGGTTGCAAACTCCTGGGCTCGAGCAGTCCTTCCACCTTGGCCTCCCAAAGTGCTGGGATTATAGGCGTGAGCCACTGTGCCTGGTTGGATTTGTTAAAAATAAAATTTTTAAAATTAGGGATGGGATCTTACTCTATTTGCCCAGGCTGGTCTCAAACTTCTGGCCTCCCAAAGTGTTGGGATTAGGCGTGAGCCACCTTGTCCGGCCCAAGTGGATTTTTAAAGGAAAAGAAGAGGCAGATTCTGAGTTGTTTACCAACAACTTATATCAAAATAACAAAAACTATTGGTTGGCTATACATCTATGTGCATCTCTGTGACATCTTTGAGTCACAGATTTCAGTGACATGAAGATAACAGGTGAGGAAGCTAGTTAGGGACAAAACTTTAAACAGTTGCCCCCAGGCCTGGGTGCAGAGAGTAGGGTCATGACTGATAGCTCATATTCATTTCTCTCTGGGCCTGCATATTTCACATAGCTCAGACTGCCCTGAGCGATTTTTCTTTTCTCAATAACTATGTGTTTTGATTGTCCTTGGAATTCAAAGAACTATGTGCTTCCTTCAAACTCTTGAGTTATTTTGATTAAACTCAGGAATGACATGGTAAGAACCAAGGTTTCATAACTAGTACCAAAATAATTTCATTTTTATACTTTTGCTGCTGCCCTAAAGTACTAGCATGTGAGGAAAGGGAAAATAGGAAGTGATAGGCAAAGTAACGTGAGTAGCAATTTTGAGGCTTGATATCAGCTAGACATTTTTTCAACTGCAAGTTACAGTATGGTATAACATACTAGTAGGAGCTTAAGTGGTAAAGATGTTTATAATCTCATAGGAGATTAGTGGTCTGGGTTTAGTGTAGTGGCCCATTGATATAAGTGGCTCCCATTTTTCCTGTTCTACCATATGTATATATGTTAGCTTTTAGTTGCATTTGTAATATGTGTCTCCTCTCCAGTCTTACTGTTCTCATTAACATGTCAAGGAAGTGGGGGCAAAGGGCAAAGACATTCCATAGGCTCTGCCTTTTATCTGGGAAGGTAAAGCTTCCCTTCCTGAGAAGCCCTCAGCAGCCTTGGTCATACTAGCTAGAATTGAGTTACATAACAAACCCTTTTAGGGTTTCCAACTTCTGTAGTAAAAAGCAACAAAATTGAAGAGGATTGGGAATGTCTCTTAACTGACTAATAACTTCTGCCACAGGGTATTGGGTGCAGCATGGCCACTGCTTTCTCTGATAGAGTCTCACCTACCTTAAGACTTGTGAATGTTTTGTGGTGTTTGTGCAGACTGGAAATTATTTAAATGGATGAATGATTAATGTGGTTGCTTTATCTTCTCGTAACTTCCTTGGTCTTCCATTGTTGTAGTCATCATTGGAATGACCTAGCCAAATTACACAAAATATGAACAGTCTAACAGCCAGCTTTTGCCAAGGGAAAATTACTCATACAATGGAGCCTATTCAGCCTTTTGAGATGCATTTAGAAGTTTAAAAACAAAATGTTCTTTCATCAGTATTTTTTACTATTCTAGAATTAGAGAATAAGTGTCATGTTGTATCCATTTGGGTAGAGGGTAAAGTGAGGGAACGAGCCTGGTGCATAAATCCTCAGTGTTTATTTCCAGTGGATAGTCTATTTGGTTAAGTAGCTGTGCTTATCTCACACTTCTCTTCACATTTTTAGTGCACAAGCATAGCCGTGTCACGGAAATGGTTGGCTTTGGGCAGTTCTGGAGGAGGACTCCATCTCATTCAGAAAGAAGGCTGGAAGCACAGGCTTTTTCTTTCACACAGGGTAAGATGAAGGGCAGCTCTGTCATATACCATTTGGAGTCTTTCATACATGCAAATTTCTGCAATATAAATAATCATTTGGAATAAAAGAATGTAAAACTTGGCTGGGCAGGGTAGCTAATGCCTATAATCCCAGCACTTTAGGAGGCCAAGGTGGGTGGATTACCTAAGGTCAGGAGTTCAAGACCAGCCTGGCCAACATGGTGAAACCCCATCTTTATTAAAAATACAAAATTTAGCTGGGCTTGGTGGCAGGCACCTGCAATCCCAGCTACTTGGAAGGCTGAGGCAGGGGAATTGCTTGAATCCAGGAAGTGGAGGTTGCAGTGAGCTGAGATCGCACCATTGTACCCCAGCCAAGGTAATAGAATGAGACAATGGTCAAAAAAAAGTGAAACTTGAGATTTAAAAATGTGTTTTCTTTTGTGCCCTAGGAAGGTGCAATTTCTCAAATCGCCTGTTGTTTACATGATGATGATTATGTTGCTGTAGCTACCAGGTAAGAATCTGTTTTAAAACTATCTGTCCTTTTTCAAATGCATTTTTAATATGTGTTTGTTAGGGTGACAAACCATCTTGGTTTGCCTAGGATTGTCCCAGTTTTAACACTGAAACTCCTGTGCCTTAGGAAACCTTTCAGTACGTAGCAAACCAGAATGAACAGTTGGTCATCCTAGTGTTTGTAGAGGATGCTAATTTGAAGTTACAACATTTCAAAGACCTTAAAAGAGAAAGGGAACAGAGATAATTTAGATCATTTAACTTCTCCTATTAAACTGGTTTGGTGACAGCAAGGAAATTAGTACCTTGACTTTTTATAATACTTCCTCTTTTCTGAAGAACAAGAGTTGCGTATGTATTTAATATAGTTGATACTGCGATGCAATTAAGTTGTACCTTTTTCACCATTACCAAAAATTTGCCTCTGTGACTCAATTCTTGCAGTCAAGGTCTTGTAGTTGTTTGGGAATTAAATCAAGAGCGTCGTGGGAAACCAGAACAAATTTATGTGTCTTCAGAACACAAAGGCCGAAAAGTCACAGCGCTCTGTTGGGATACAGCTATCCTTAGAGTTTTTGTAGGTGATCATGCTGGGAAGGTTTCTGCCATCAAACTCAATGCTTCTAAACAAGCAAAGGTGAGAAGCAGTCCTGTTCTTTGTGTATGTAGTGAGATACAAGGTGTTGTCTTATAAAACTTCCAATTAAAGAATGTGATTTTATCTACTGTATTTCTTGGGAGACTAATCCAGAGTCCAGAGTTGGAGATTTTTGAGGAGACCTGTTGTATATAGTACATATGGTGGCCTGTTTTAGCTCAATACTGTTGCAGAATGGCTTTTGTGAGCTAACTTCAGTACTTTGCATGTTATCTATTGCATTTCTTCCTGATTCACCTGCATGGCTCATTTCAGCAAAGCATTCTTTAGTATAAGGCTATTAAAAAAGAAAAGATATCTATTTATTATTGGTGTGAATAAAACGGCAAACATAGAAATGACACCAATTGCCCAGGCTCCTGATCTTCTCTGCTTCTTATGTAGAAGAAACTCTTAGGTCTAGGAATATTTTTTTTATCAGGATGGCTATAACTTATTTTGAATGGAATCTTAAAGGCACCTTCTGACTTTGCCCTGCTCTTGCAGGTCCTCAGGCTTCCTGTTGCAGTTATTGCTGAGTAGAAGGGTTGAGACTCAGGTTACCCTAACAGAATGCTCCAGTCTGTCATTAAGACAGAGCAGACCAGCTTCTCATTGTCCCACTCCTCCAAGGCCATTACATCACAAGTAGAGGGATTTTTGTCTCTCATTGGCTTATTTCTGTTTAGGATTCTGGCAGAAAAGAAGGGATCTAACTACTATTGGCTAAATTACTTTTATTTTATATTTTATTTATTTTGAGATAGGGTCTTGCTTTGTCACTCAGGCTGAAGTACAGTGGTGAGATCATGGCTCACTGCAGCCTTGATCGCCCAGGCTCAAATCCTCCCCCCTCAAAACTCCTGAGTAGCTGGGACCACTGGCATGCACCACCATGCCTGGCTAATTTGTAAAAATTTTTTGTAGACAGGGTTTTGCCATGTTTCCCAGAGTGGTCTGGAACTCCTGGGCTCAAGCAGTCTACTCACTTTGCCCTCCCAAAGTGCTGGGATTACAGGCATGAGCCACTGCCCCTGGCTATTGGCTAAATTATTTTAATGAACATATCAAAATATTTTTCTGATTTTGCCATCATGACCTATCAAAGTTAGCAATTGATTCTTAATATCTTTTGGATCTAAAATATAATTGAAACCCTATAGGTAGTAGACTTATTTTATCTTTTTCTCAAAGGGAGAAGTACTATCTACAGGCGAAAAATTCTTTCACATACTCCGAAACTTTATTTATTTAGAGACAGGTTTTTCCTCTATTGCCCAGGCTGAAATGTAGTAGCGCAATCTTAGCTCACTGCAGCTTTCAGCTCCTAAGCTCAAGCAATCCTTCTGCCTCAGCCTCCCAAGTAGTTGGGATTATAGGTGTGTGCTACCATGCCTGACTAACATGTTCTAAAGCTTGCTTCATCTTTTTCATTCTCACCTCTAAGATTAGATAATCACAAACAGCCTTAAGAATTTTCTTCTGCAGTTAGGTACCAAGTTAAGTGAGTGAAACTTTGATATTCTTACAAGCAAATTAAATTTTAGCCTATTTGAAAATTTTATTTTGTTATTCAAGTTATTTTCATTTATAAGGTAAAGAGGAAGAGATTACATGTGTATGTTATGATTAAATAAACTTTATTTTGTTTCTCACATTACTTTTAGGCAGCTGCTGCTTTTGTGATGTTTCCTGTTCAGACAATAACAACAGTTGACTCCTGTGTTGTACAGTTAGATTATTTGGATGGAAGGCTACTTATATCTTCACTTACTCGATCCTTCTTGTGTGACACTGAAAGGTATATTGACCAACAGTTGCTCATCAGAAATGCAGAATTTTAGAACTGGAAGGAACTTAGAAGTTGTCTACCCCAAGCCCCATCAATCAGTTACACAGATTTTATTTCCTTTTTTTTTTTTTTTTTTTTTTGATACGGTCTCACTCTGTCACCCAGGCTGGAGTGTAGTGGTGTGATCATGGCTAACTGCAGCCTCGACCTCCCCAGCTCAAGTGATCCTCCTACCTCAGCCTCCCAAGTAGCTGTGTCTACAGGCACATGCCACCATGCTCTGCTAATTTTTTGTATTTTATTTAGAGACTGGGTTTTGTCATGTTACCCAGGCTGGTCTTGAACTCCTGGGCTCAAGCGATCTCCCTGCCTCAGCCTCCCAAAGTGCTGGGATTACAGGCATGAACCGCCGCCCTTGGCTACACAGATGTTAAGGAACCAGTTGTATGCAAGCTGATGTTAGAGAGCAGAGAGGTGGTAGAGGAGTCTAAGACAGTCCAGTAGGTGACTAAGACAAGTATTCCTTGAGCCTGCTGCTGTGAGGCATATTCTAAGCACCATGAGATAAGGCCAAAGGCCTGTTTTTATAGGGGGAAGCAGGAAGGCTTCTTTGAGTTTTGTGGTTTTAAAAATTTGTTTTGTTTTAATAGAATTTTACTAAAGGGTAAAACCAGATGAAGAATAATTCAGAGCTTTATGAAGATAAGTGTTTCATCAGAATCTCAAGGGTAGACCAGAGATCCAGTAAATGGCAAAGGAGTGCATTAGAGGTAGCCGTGAAATACCAGAGCAGAATAGCAAACAGCTGAAAGTGAATATTATGCATCACTGTGCCAAAATTCTCAGCCATTCTCGCTGCAAGGAAATTTTCACTGGCTATTTCTTTTTTTCACTGGACCTCGCAGCTGTTGTATTTCTCAGGACCATCTCCCCTTAAAATTTTGTTTTAGAGAGATTTGAGCCTACACAAAATAAGAGAGAATTGTATAATCAACCCCCATGTACCTATTTTGTAACTGAAGTTAGATGGCAGTATCATAGAACCTGCTGTAAAAATAACATGTTTATATGTGCTACTTTCTGTTAGCTAGAATTCAGTTTTTGGGGACATAGTATAATAAAATATATACTTATGTTAAAAAATCTTTTTGTTTCAACCTATTTTCCCTCCCAAAAACCAATATATATATTTTTAAAGCCGGGACTCCTAACGACTAGCCAAAGAGATAGATATGAATTTGCTTCAGGTAAATTTAATGTTAAGGATTAACTAAGGTAGCATATGTGAAAATTCTCAACTTTGTGCCTGTGACATATTGTTTGTTTGAAAAATAATAAAAAATAAGATTAATGAGTATACAAATGATAATGAATTGATTGCATTTTTCACTCAGCAAACATTTATTATATTCCTCTAGATCCTTAGCACTATATTAGGTATCATAGGGGATATAAAATAAGCAAGAAATATATTTTATTTCCCAAATAAGTAATATAAATGATAAAACAAATACTTCTTGTACTGCTCTGTATACATTTCAAAGCACTCTTACACTTATGTTCTTAAAGCAAATGTTATATTTTATTCATGAAGCAAATAAGTACAGAAATATTTATTGAATTTTCTGAGGTTATCTAGTAAATTCATGCTAGAAAGCATACTAGATCACTCTTCAATAGAAGAGATTGAGTTAAGGGAACTCTACAGTGTATTGAGTGCATTTTGTAGGCCTGACACTGTGCTGTACACTGGAAATTCAAAGGGGAATAAGAAGTGTCCTTTGTCCTGAAAAGTCATGAACAACTGTTCAGATAGACATAATTGCCATATATCATGTCATAAGTGCTATGAAGGCAAAGCATGGGAAGCATGTAATTCCATATATGGGAATCAAAGAAAGTTTATGAGGGGGAATGATGAAGCTAAATCATGAAAAGTAAGTAACAGGAGTTTTTAGGAAGAGACATCTCCCTCATTCTTATCACCTTCCATGTTCCCAGGCAGTGTACTAAGCTCTATTATATATCTAACTTATGTAATCCTAAGGGAACAGAATGCCCCACAGTGCAGAGTTTCAGAAGGACCTGGGTTTTTGAGGAAAGAGTAAGTTTATTGGGTGTTTGTTGTTAGGAAGTGACTTGGAGACAGGGTTGGAGAAGTAGATTAGTAGCTTCCATAAAGTATCCAAAGAACATTTTACAAAGTGACTTTAGAAGCAATTGTAGGATTCAAGAATGTACAAAATAGTTTGGTAGCACTCACCTTTTCGATTTGAAAGGGACTTTCACATTAATTCTAAGCCTCTTATTCTGTGGATAATAAACTGAGTACTAATATGAAATGATTTGCTTCCTATCACAGAAATAGCTAATGGCAAATCAGAGCCAGAACTCTATTTTGATCTTTCCTTTCTATTGTTTTTTTCAGTATATTGATAATGTGAATGAAGGAGAAGGCACTGTGAGTGGAGTTACTATGTCCATGCTGATTTGTAGTGCCACTGTTTTTGACATTTTTTTTTTTTTTGTAAGTAAATGTGCTTTTCTCTTTTTTTCTGTATATTAGAGAAAAGTTTTGGAAAATCGGAAACAAGGAAAGAGATGGGGAATATGGAGCTTGCTTCTTTCCTGGAAGATGTTCTGGGGGCCAGCAACCTCTCATATTTTGTGCTCGCCCAGGCTCTAGGATGTGGGAAGTGAACTTTGATGGAGAAGTTTTAAGTACACATCAGTTCAAGAAACTTCTCTCATTGCCACCTCTCCCTGTGATTACTCTAAGGTAATGATTTGTTTTGCTGGTTGACAATGTTTGAAGAGCTTATATATAGAGGTTGGGTGAAAATCTCTGACATTCTATATGTATTAAAGATTTTATTACACCTTTTCAGAGTGAAGTTGGTTATTTATTAAAAGATTCAGAAAAACCAAAGAAGTCTTTGATCAGTTACCTTTCCTATGAGTAGAGTGAGTTGAATAAGGCAGATACAAGTAGGCTCTTGAATTTGTTTTGTAGGCAAAAATTTCCGTATATTGGGAAAAGTATAATTTTATGTTGTGATAAACTCATTAACAAATGTGTTTACTTTCTAGATCAGAACCTCAGTATGATCATACAGTTGGAGCCTCTCAATCTCTGTCTTTCCCTAAACTCTTACATCTTAGGTAAGTTTCTCCTTTCCTTTGATTTGGGGGGGAGGGGAAGAATACTTAGCTTTTTATCTTTGTTTCTTGTTCAGAGGTAGTTTTTTAAGGTTATTTTTGCACTAAATTATTTTTAGAAAGTTAGGAAATAATTATGTTACATGTATTTAAAATGAATGGAAAGATCCTAGAAATACACTTCTCTTTCCAAGCCAATTGGAGAGTTTATAATTGCCAGGAAACTTCAAACAATTAGAGCTAAGCTAGCTCTACTAACCTCCTTATAACCTCCTCTATCTGGTGGCTTGCTATAATGAAAGCAAGTCCCAGATCAAAATGTGCCACACAGTTGCATGTTTTTTAGCAAGCTGGCACAAAAATAGTTGTAGAACTGGTTCTTGTACACTTGGTGAAATTTCAGCTCTCTATCCTGTAGGTACTCTGACAAATACTTGCACGAAAGATCTACGGCAGGCAGTTTCAGCCATATTCTAACGTCAGAGTTCAGCTGCCTTCTAGCTGGATTAGGTTCAAAGTCCAGCACAAAGTGCTGCCCTGAAAGTTGTCAACTGCTGGGCCCACAATTCTTACACCTTGTTCTTCAGGAGGAAGAGTGCCAGTGTATGATTTCTACCCAATATATGAGTCTTGAATTCTATTTATTTCATTAATAAAAAATTATTTCTGATATCCCTTAGGCTAGTTAGTAAGATCTCTGATGCAGATTCAGCAGGTGTTGTATGAGGTTGTTATATGTTACACTGGAGTGTGAACACCTGAGTCAGTTCTTTCAATTATTAAAAATAATTAAAATGTTAACTAATTGCCCCTAAGGGCAAGGATACAAACTGGTTTATGTATTTGTCATACTTCCTACACTAAAGTATTTAAAAGTGAATTATAAGGCCGGGTGTGGTGGCTTATGCCTATATTCCAGCACTTTGGGAGGCTGCGGCAGGCAGATCATCTGAAGTCAGGAGTTCGAGACTAGCCTGTCAACATGGAGAAACCCCGTCTCTACTAAAAATATAAAAATTAGTCAGGCGTAGTGGTATGCTTCTGTAATCCCAGCTACTAGGGAGGCTGCAGCAGGAGAATTGCTTGAAGCTGGAAGGTGGAGGTTGCAGTAAGCTAAGATTGTACCACTGCACTCTAGCCTGGGACACAAAGCAAGACTCTATTTAAAAAAAAAAAAAAAAAGTGAATTATAGACATTATAACACTTTAGTAACCCCATAATTCATCATGAAAATTACTAGAGAAAGACATTTATTTGCCCATAATTAGATAAAGCATATTAAAAACTCCTCCTCCTTTAGCATTCTTCCTTTATGGGACTTGTCACAGTTTATAATTACATATTAATATACATGTCTTATTCTAAACAGTAAGTTCTATGAGGGCTTTATTTCTGTTTTGCTCACTATTGTTTTCTCAATGCTTGGCTCAATGCCTGGCACATGATAGATGCTTAATAAATATTTGTTGATTATGATGTGATGTGCGGGGTGTGGGGAAGTCCCTTACCCAAGAGTATTTTTTTTTTATTTTTTTTTTAAGAGGTGGAGTCTCACTCTGTTGCCCAGGCTGGAGTACAGTGGTGCGACAGTACTCACAACAACCTCCGCCTCCCGGGTTCTAGCAATTCTCCTGCCTCAGCCTCCTGAGTGGCTGGTACTACAGGTGCATGCTGCCATGCCTGGCTAATTTTTTGCGTTTTAGTAGAGACGGGATTTCACTGTGTTGCTCGAACTCCTGAGCTCAGGCAATCCACCCGCCTTGGCCTCCCAAAGTACACAAGGGTATGTTTTCTAGTAATTGGGCCACAATATGCTTAGCTCTCTAGATAGAGTTATTTTTTTTGACTGTAGCTATTTAAAGCTCCTGTTACAGTCCCTACCATTGTAGACAAAGCCCTTGATGATCTGGCTCTGCCTATGCCTCAGCTTAAGCAACAATTAATGCCACTTTGAAACCTCTACTGATTCCTCCAAGAGGCTTACATTAGACACCTGTTCCTGTGCATGTACTATTGTCAAACCATATTCATTCCTTTATCATTGTCACTCTCTTGTTGTATGAATATACATCCCAGCATCAGATTGTTAACTCCTTTTCTATGGGCAGTGCTAGACACATAGAAGGCTCTCAAATAATAGTGAATTCAACAAACAGTTTCTTTGAAAAACAAGAAGAGGAGGGCTTCTTTTTGTTCCTGTTTTTATTTTTATTTTTTCATTTGTACACTGTGCCCTATGAGACTTGTATTGTTGCAACCCATAAATCCCATCTTTATGTACTTTGTTTCCTTCTTTCCGTACGTTGGCATCACTTTCCTTTCTCAGACTTCTAAAACAATGCTGTTAGGCTTGTGTCCCCATTTATTATCAGTGAAGGGATAAGGGTATGAAACATGTATAAATTACAAGTATCAGCTTTTATCTAAGTTCCAGTTCTCAGTCCCCCATCTAATCTAGGTTGCTACTCCTAAGGAATTTTCCAAGCTGAATGTCAAGTTCAGTATCAAAATTATGATTCTGTATCTCTTTACTCAGGGATCCTCTGGCTCCTTTTTTTTCCTCTCCTCTGACTCTTGATGTCAGCCTTCTCAATTTTACTTTGGATTCAGATTCTGACCATTTCTTCTATTTTATGACAAAGATTACTTTCCTGTAGGAATAGTGTCTGGTCTTTCTTATTGACAAAATGTTTAATACTTAAATGAAGACCCAGCTCCTGTTAAAAATCAGTTAGTTTCATAGCCACGTGGAACCATTTTTAGTACTCCTGGAAACATAAAGGAAAAAAAAATAGGGTCCCTGTGCTTAAAATTATAATTTATTGGAGAGATGTGATTTACTTCTCCAAAAAGTTTAACAACAGTAACAAGTGAGAGTTGTGACAGTGCAGTATATGATGAAGTGCCATATGAGCAGAGTGTAAGAAGTAGGTTGAGTACAAGAAATGGGGTGAGTGCTGTGGGCTGTAGGGGAGGATTTCAGAGGGAAGTAGAACTTCTGATTCTTGAAAGGTGGCTAGATTAAGAAAACTGTAAGTTGGAGAATGTACTGACCAGCATTAAGAAGTGGAGATTAACAGTGGTATATAAAACATAGTAGCAGCCTTGAGAGAGTAAATGAAATATATGAGATATATTTATATGATAAGTGAGTATAGAAAAAGATAAGTAGAGAGAGTACCAGAGGAGTGGAGAGAAAGAGAACCAACAAAATGAAGTGTCCAAGAGTCCTGGGAGGTAAGGTTCAAAAAGAGAATAGTTAGCAGGGTTGGCTGCTGCTTGGAGTTAAGAAAATGGGAAGTGGTGAAGGGTTATTGGGTTTGGCAGTTTGGGAATCTGTGACTTTTTGAGAATCCAGTTAAGTGGAATAGTTAGGATTCCAGATAATAGTGGGTAGGTTAGTGAAGGTAAGTAGGGGAGGAAATAGATTCTGTGTTATATAGGAAAAAAGTCCAGGTTTTGGTTCTAGACTATCCTTGGTATAAATTCTGACTCTTCTACATTTCATGCTCAGTGGCCTTTGACATATTTTTTCTCTCTGAGCCTTTTTAATCTTTTTAATTTTTAGTTTTTTATCTTTTAATAAAATAAGAGTAGTTTATTTACCTCAATTGGCTTCTACAAAGTTAGGTAATATAGACAGAGCCTTTAATAAAGCTCCTGGCACATTGTTGACCAGAAGTTCTCAGCCTTGTGTTGCCCACACACAAGTAATGACTTCAAAATATTACTGTTCCTGAAAGTGGCTCAGTGGAGTAGTGATTGGCGGTAAGATGTTAGTCTTTGTTTTAAATGTGCCCCTATCATGTCAAGTATGGAAAGTTCAGCGGCTTTAACAAACATTAGGTAAAGGTCCCTAAGCTCTTCTTTTTCTGGATACCAGCCTTTTCTTTTTTTCTTATTTTTTTGAGACAGAGTTGCATTCTGTCGCCCAGGCTGGAGTGCAGTGGCACAATATTGGCTCACTGCAGCCGCCTCTGCCTCCCGGTTTGAAGTGATTCTCCTGCCTCAGCCTCCTGAGTAGCTGGGATTACAGGTGTGCACCACCATGCCTGGCTAATTTTTGTATTTTTAGTAGAAAGAGTTTCACCATGTTGGCCAGGCTGGTCCTGAACTCCTGACCTGAAGTGGTCCACCCACCTCAGCCTTCTTAAATATTGGGACTACAGGCATGAGACACCACGTCTGGCTGAGCCTTTTCTTTTTCTGGAAAATATCTAGTATATGTGTCTGAATTTTTCCAATTTGGCATCATAGTACACTATTTGTTAGTGGGCTGTTCTTACAAACACAAAGGAGTTGTTAGGACTTGACTAGCTGGATCACTCTTGTGTTTTCTTTGTACAGTCTGATTTTACTTTAATGGCTAATATGAGGATCTGAATTCAGGGAATTATAAACTTTTATATCCTAGCCCACTCGAATTCTCTTGACTTTTTCTCTTGTAGTGAGCATTGTGTGCTGACTTGGACAGAAAGAGGAATTTATATTTTCATTCCTCAGAATGTTCAAGTACTTCTTTGGAGTGAAGTCAAAGGTAATTATATTTTTCTTTATGTAATTTTTAATCTCATGCTTATGAAAATTTGATTATTGTAGAAGGATTCTCTTGTAATTTAAGGAGTTGAAAAATAGGATGGGGTAACTTTTTTTTTTTTTTTTTTGAGACAGAGTCTTGCTTTTTTACCAAGGCTGGCTGGAATACACTGGTGCGATCTTGGCTCATGGCCACCTCTGCCTCCCGAGTTTAAGTAATTCTCCTGCTTCAGCCTTCTGAGTAGCTGGGATTATAGACGTGTACCACTACGCCTGGTTAATTTTTGTTATTTTTAGTAGAGGTGGAGTTTCACTATGTTAGGCAGGCTGCTCTCAAACTCCTGACCTCAGGTGATCTGCCTGCTTTGACCTCCCAAAGTTCTGGGATTATTGGTGTGAGCCACCGCGCCTGGCCACATTTCTTTTAAAGGTTGATCATAGATGCTTCCCATTGTAAGGTACTTTCCAAGCATGCATTAGTGAATTTGTATTCAGCTATTTTTTCTTGAGTAATTTTATTTATTTATTTATTTATTTGTTTATTTTTTATTTTTTTTATTTAAAGACAGGGTTTCACCATGTTGGTCTGGCTGGTCTTGAACTCCTGACCTCAGGTGATCCGCCCGCCTTGGCCTCCAAAGTCCTTGGATTATAGGCATGAGCCACCGCACCCGGCCTTATTTATTTTTTAATTAACACATAGTAATTTTACATATTTATAGGGTACATAGTGATGTTTCAATACATACAGTGGATAGGGTACCCTGATCAGATCAGGGTAGTTAGCATATCTATCATCTTAAACATTTATTAGCTCTTTGTGTTAGGAACGTTCATTATCCTTCCAGCTCTTTGAAAATATGCATTGTTATTAACTATAGTCATTCTACAATGCTATGGGACAGTAGAACTTATTCCTCCTATCTGGCTATAATTTTGTATCCTTTAACAAGTCTTTCCCTGTCTACCCCTTCCTCTTCACCTTCCCAGAACCTGGTCACCTCTGTTCTACTTTTTTACTTCTGTGAAATCACATTTTTCTAGCTTCTGCATATGAATGAGAACATGTACTCTTTAACTTTTTTTTCCTGGCTTATTTCACTTAACATAATGTCCTCCAGTTTTTGTAGGTAATTTTAAATGCAATTTTCTTTTTTTTTTTTTGAGACGGAGTTTCGCCCTTGTTACCCAGGCTGGAGTGCAATGGCGTGATCTCGGCTCACCGCAACCTCCGCCTCCCGGGTTCAGGCAATTCTCCTGCCCCAGCCTCCTGAGTCGCTGGGATTACAGGCACGCGCCACCATGCCCAGCTAATTTTTTGTAGTTTTAGTAGAGACGGGGTTTCACCATGTTGACCAGGATGGTCTCGATCTCTTGACCTCGTGATCCACCCGCCTCGGCCTCCCAAAGTGCTGGGATTACAGGCTTGAGCCACCGCGCCCGGCCTTAAGTGCAATTTTCATTAGTAACTGCTGCAAAGGAACAGTTTAATTTTTTTCCCTCTATTGCCCTGAGTCTTTATCCCTGCCAGAAGTCTTGCTTTGACTCCCATTTTGTATCTTTATAGTCTGGAGTTTAACATTTTCTTGTGGGCACAACAGCCATCATATGTCCCTGAGACAGAAAATCAATCTCTATATTCTTTGGGTTAAAACCAGAAATGGGGGAAATCTAGCATTTTTACCATTGCTGCTCAGTAGAGAGTGTATGTTGACTTTTTGGTTCTTTTTCTGCTTTTGTAAAAACCAAAAAAGGAGAGAGAGGAAGAAATCATTACTTTGGTCTCATCAACAGTGATTTTTTTGTGGCATAAATTTCTTAAGTATGTCTCTTGACAACTAGTCTTTTAAGTTCTTTCAAGATACTCTGCCAAGACAGATAATTTCTTGAAGGCAGATATTTTCTCATGAACTGTATATTTATTTACATACCATGTTAAAATCCATTCATTGAGGACCAGGTTGTAACTCTCAGGAACCTTATAGTTTGGCCTCTAATGTAGATTATCCTCTTTTTCTGTGAAAAGGAATTGGGACATTTCTTATGTTTAAAAACGCTGTTTTCTGTGAAAAGGAATTGGGACATTCCTTTTTTTTAAACATTTTTAAAAATAAGACTTTTTAAAAATAAAACTTTTTAAACATTTTTAAAAATAAGACTTATTTTTTAAAATAAGCATTTTTAAACATAAGACTTTAGGTCAGAGAGATATAGTTCTTTCTTTACATCTTTTATTCTTGATCTTTTTAGAATAGTATCTAAAATGATTTCTTCATTGAACTGCAAGTACAAAAATAGAGATGAAATTCAGTCAAGCCAAACCCTACATAAGAAATGAATTTGGCTGGGCGCGGTGGCTCAAGCCTGTAATCCCAGCACTTTGGGAGGCAAAGGCGGGTGGATCACGAGGTCAAGAGATCGAGACCATCCTGGTCAACATGGTGAAACCCCGTCTCTACTAAAAATACAAAAAAAAAAAAAAAATTAGCTGGGCTTGGTGGTGCGTGCCTGTGATCCCAGCTGCTCAGGAGGCTGAGGCAGGAGAATTGCCTGAACCCAGGAGGCGGAGGTTGCGGTGAGCCGAGATCGCGCCATTGCACTCCAGTCTGGGTAACATGAGTGAAACTCCATCTCAAAAAAAAAAAAAAAAAAGAAAAGAAATGAATTTATTAGAATAATTTCAGCCCTTTTAAAGTTGTAAGGGGTATTTGGTTAACATTTTATATGTTCACACCTATGGTTTTTGTAGATATTCAGGATGTGGCTGTCTGCAAGAATGAATTGTTCTGTTTGCACCTAAATGGAAAAGTCTCACATCTCTCCTTGATATCTGTGGAGCGCTGTGTGGAACGCCTGCTAAGAAGAGGGCTATGGAACCTGGCTGCTCGCACATGCTGTCTTTTTCAAAATTCTGTCATTGCCAGCAGAGTGAGTCAGAGCTTTCCTAGATATCTTTACCATGAATTGGTAAAACTATCCTAGCTTGCAAGATTGTGTTAAAGAGTTGCTTGATTTTATTAGCCCTGTCTGTATGACCTACAGATACAGCAATACATGCCCATAGAAAGCATGATAGATACATCTAGGGGTGGATAGAGGGTAAGAGAGAGGGTACAATTTCTATTTAAAATAAATTTACATACAAATTTATTTGTTTCAGAACTTGTTTAAGCGGGATAACTGTGTATACTGTAAATCTTAATTAAATTCTTTTTTTTTTTTTCTTTGAGACAGAGTCTGACTCTGTCACTCAGGCTGGAGTGCTGTGGCGTGACCTTGGCTCACTGCAACCTTCACCTCCTGGGTTCAAGCGATTCTTGATTCTTGTGCCTTAGCCTCCCAAGTAGCTGGGACTACAGGTGCTCACCACCACACCCAGCTGATTTCTTGTTGGTATTTTTAGCAGAGACAGAGTTTCGCCGTGTTGGCCAAACTGGCCTTGAACTCCTGACCTCAAGTGATCCACCCACCTTGGCCTCTCAAAGTGCTGGGATTACAGGCATAAGCCACCATGTCCAGCCTTAAATTCTTAATTCCTAAGAAAATTATCATTAAATCTTTCAGTAGCTTGCTAAGCCTTTTTAAAGCACCATTGAAGTTTTATGTTCTATATAAGACCTCTTTCAATATATTAGCCATTTGAATATAGATTTACTTACAAATAGTAAGCTATTCTGTTGCAATATCGTTTTATTAGGCAAGAAAATCTTTGACTGTAGATAAATTAGAGCATTTGAAATCTCAGCTGGACCATGCCACCTACAGTGATCTAATTTCTCAACTGGAGGAATTGATCTTAAAATTTGAACCTTTGGATTCAGCTTGTAGCAGTAGAAGAAGCTCCATTTCATCACATGTAAGTATTCTCATCTTTAAAGGATTTTGTAGGGTAAGATTTTTCCACCTTCGATTGTACCTATTTACCTCTATGCTCCCCAAATTTGTTGTTTAGATTTCCATTTAGATGTTTTGGTGGGAAGGGGTGAACTTTTGTTCAGCTACTGGATAACTCCGTGAAGCCTCCATTTAGGTTGTCTTGGAGCCACATTTTATTTTGTCATTGTTTATTATTTTCTGTTCCCTGATACACTCATGTAACTCCCAGCATAAGTTCTGTTGCTCTAATATGTGATTTCAGGTGCTTCATGCTAATTTGAATCTGAATGCAGCTCAGGATTATCTCATTTAATCCCCATTCTCACTGCCATGCTTTATGAAGACAAGCTAGAGAAATATGGCAGCTGATGCCACTAGCACGTGGAGTGACCCAGCTGCCAGGCGCCTAAGCCTTGCTCACCAGTTTGTTCCAATAAGCCATAATGGTTGTTATTAACTTTTCACTTGAGTGTTGGTATTTCTCTGAAAAAGTTATATTAATGTTATAAAGGAAATTTTTAATTTATATTTTTGGAATTCTTTTAATTTTTAGGAAAGTTTCAGCATCTTGGACTCTGGTATTTATCGTGTCATTAGTAGTAGAAGAGGCAGTCAGTCAGATGAAGACTCTTGCTCTCTTCACAGCCAAACCCTCTCAGAAGATGAGAGATTTAAAGAATTCACCTCACAGCAAGAAGGGGACCTGCCAGATCAGTGCTGTGGCTCACATGCAAATGAAGGTGATGAATATGTCTGTTGTTGGTTGCTGATGTGATGCCATTATTTTCCACAAGTTCTTGTTACCAGGATTATCTTGTGCGCAGAATTTTTCTGAAGTATTAATATTTTTTAACATGTTGGTAGAAATTTCCATCCAGATCTACAGATCTACTCACCACTAGAAGGGTTGGTTTATGTTTTGTATTTTTTCCCCTTACGCTTGGACTAACATTAGTGCCTATTTTTGACCATACATCAAAATGCTGGAAAAGTTAAAGAAAGGTCATTAACCAAAAGAGTGGGAAGATTTTATCCTGACTAACCAAATTATTTTTCATCAGGAATGAAAAATTACTGCAGTTCTGGGGGTCATTGCCTTCCTTTTTCGATGTGCGAGTATTCCTGTGGCTGAACTATTGAGAAGAGAATAATAGAGACCCTAAACTTCCTTTTTTACTTATGGGGATTCAGGGTTAGTAGGCAAATGAAGGTACAGTGTTTTATGTGGACCATCCCATGCATTTTGTAAACCTGTGTTCCACTCATTTGTTTTTGGGTCAGTTATGATTTTGATACTGAATCCTTCATTTCTTTCGGTTTATTCATTTCAGAATTTTTTTTTAAGATTAAAACAACTCCCATGTGATTAGATTTTGTTTCTTTTTTTCCTAATTCCATTCATTAGACAATGTTTCTCACGCTCCAGTGATGTTTGAGACAGATAAGAATGAAACTTTTCTTCCCTTCGGTATTCCGTTACCATTTCGTTCCCCATCTCCTCTTGTGTCTCTTCAAGCTGTCAAAGAAAGGTAAACCAATTAGTCTTGTCATTTAATTCCATTTCTGATCTTACTTCAGTTGTCACATAAGGTAATTTGTTCTGAGAATGGAAAATGAAAAAAAAAGGAAGTCTCTTGTTTTCCATATACCTATCATATGAAGCTGTTAACTTCTCATTTACCTTGGGGAATCCAGCTTCCCTCTGTTTCAGTAGTATTTGAGTTAAAGGTTTAGGTGCCTCCACCCTTGAGAGATCAAAAATTAAATGTCTGATGGGAATAGTTTCCACGTTATCTTTAGTCTTTAGTTGATCCTTTCTTTAGTCTTTAGTTGGTCAGTTTGGGTTTAGACTTGGAGTCTTTTCAGAATTCTTTCTAGCTACTCCATGGGACCAGTGTTGACATTTGAGTTTGAGAGGGAAGACTTTGTGCAGCTACTTAACTGCTTATCTGAGTCTTACTAGACTCAACTTCTTGTTAAGAGGGGTGTATTGTGACTAGTTAACAGCTAGCTGAGTTGTATGAAGCAATTCTTTGTTAATCTGTGACTAGATGGGGCTGATAATCACATGATTTACTTTGCCTAAGTTGACAGAAATATTACAGATACAGCTGGAGTTAAAGACCTTTGTTTTAGAACTGAAACACTGGTTTCTTAGGGCAGTTTAGTAAAAATCATTATATTGTAAGTTTTATAATAGGGCCTTATGTGAAATGCTATTATTTGAACAGAGAAGTTGCTATAAACATTCTTTATTAAGTCCAAGTTGCCTTCCTAGGACTAATAGAAACACAGAAAACTGAAGAATGAAAATCTGGGTTTTACTGGATACAAATTGTGATCATCATGTGGTCATCAGTCCCATTCCGGTTACAGAATAACAAAGAATTGCTTCATGCGACTCAGCTGTCAACTAGTCTTAATATACGCTTCTTAACAAGCAAAATTTGTATCCAGAAAAGCTGAGTTTTCACTCTTGGCAGTAATGTTTTTATTCATGTTAGTTTTTTGGTATTTGACTTCTAGTGTTTCTAGCTTTGTGCGAAAAACTACTGAGAAGATTGGCACCCTTCACACAAGCCCTGATCTGAAAGTGAGACCAGAGCTCAGGGGTGATGAGCAATCATGTGAAGAGGCTGTGAGTTCAGATATCTGCCCAAAGGAGGAAGACATTGAGTAAGCCCTTACACATAAATCTCTGTAAATTCTAGGGAATACAGCTGTCAGTTCTAACAAATCCATAGACCAAGGTTGTGCAACCTGCAGCCTGTGGGCCTCATGTGACCCAGAATGGCTTTGAATGTGGCCCAACACAAATTTGTAAACTTTCTTAAAACATGAGTTTTTTTGTGATTTTTAAATTTATTTTACTTTTATTTTTAGCTCATCAGCTATTCTTAGTGTTAGTGTATTTTATGTGTGGCCCAAGACACTTCTTCCTTTGTGGCCCAGGGAAGCCAAAAGATGGGACACCTATGCCATAACCTATGTCCTTTTGAAGAAGGCACATGTATGTCCCCATTAGTTGAAGATTGTTTGCATAGCTTATAAAAATTGTGAATTCCACAAGGTGTTGAAAAATTACATCAATCCTGAAGCAGCTCTGTTGAGCAGAGTTTTAATTTAGTACCTCTTCCATGCCCTGCACAACTCCCCTCCCTCCCCCACAATCTCTTCAAACTTCTGGAATCTCACAGGAGTATTAGATTAAGAGTAGGATGACCAAGGATGTAGGCCTTGTCCTGGCTCTGCTTATGACTAGTATGTGACTTTGGGAATGTCACTGATGCTCTCTGGCCTGTAAGATCCAGAATGTGCTCTTACTTTATGAGTCAGTAAAAAGAATATTGGATTGAGATAATGAAAAAGAAAAAGGGAATTCTTTAGGCAATGAAGAAACTTAATCAAACAGTTGGCATTGATATCCTGTCAGGTACCTTCACATGATATGCTTGTGGCCTGGTAGTGTGGTAGAGTTGTAGCAGAGCCCTTGATTGGGCATAGCATGAAGTATCTTGTCTCTCTGGTTTCTGCCTTATAGTTGAGGGAATCTGGGCATTAAAGGCAAGCAAATTCAGTACTCATCCAGGAATTAAGAGAGAAACCCATGGGACTGGTGTATCTGGACAGTCAGATGAAATAAAAGATTTGTAATCCTCAGAATAACTTAGTGAATCCATATGTTTATAGAGAAAAAGTGCAGATTTTTTGACATGGCATTTAGTGCAGCCTTCAGTCTAATCCTAGCTACCTTTCTAGCCACATCCTTCTAAGTGCTATAAATTCCACTCCTGTCAGAGAGCTAAGTGTTTGCCCTGACACCTCACTACTCTTCTTCATGGTATGTCTTCTATCTGGAGTATTCTCTCCCACCATTTTTTGTAGAACAAGTAATACCTCCTTAGGAATGTGTCCCTTTGCCTAGTCAGAAAAAATGATTTACTCTCTGCTTTCATATCACAGTGCTCTTTAAAGAGCTGCCCTTTGGTATTCAACTTATTCTTTTTTTAAAATGATACTTAATTGTTTGCATACCTTTCTTTCTAATTAGGGCTTAGTGAAGCTTATTACCTTAAGGCCAAGGACCGCCTTTTATATTCATCTATTTGTCTCATGTAACATGGGTATAATACTTGCTACTTAGCATAAGAAATAGTTGTCTAAGAAAGCTCTGAGGCTGAGGCAGGGAGAATTGCTTGAACCCAGGAGGCAGAGGTTGCAGTGAGCCAAGATCAGGCCACTGCACTCCAGCCTGGGTGACAGAGTGAGACCCTATCTCAAAAAAAAAAAAAAGCAAGCTCTGATCCTGTCTGACCCTTGTGAATGTTATTGTTATTTTTCACATTTTCTTAGGGAGGATAAAGAGGTAACTAGTCTACCTCCGGAAGAAGACAGGTTCCAGGAGCTTAAAGTAGCAACAGCACAAGCAATGTGAGTATAATGAGAAACTTTTTTAGTGACTTCTCAGGGCAGTTTAATAAATGAAGTGAATCATTATATTGTTAAGTTTTATATGGGCCTTATATGAAATAGTTGATTAGAGAAGTTGCTATAAATGTTCTTTCCTTTTAAGTCCAAGTTGCCTTCCTAGGAGTAATAGGAACATGGAAAACCCAGGCACTTGGAGTTTTTATCCTTGGCAGCAATAAGATTTTTTTCCTATTAATTTTTTGATATTTGACTTGCAGTATTCCTAGCTTTGTGCGTAAAACTACTGTGAAGATGGGCAGCTTTCACTCAGGCCCAGAATGGGAATGACTTTCTGAGACCATCAGTAGCAGTCTGGAGACAGTTTGGGATGGAGGTAGCCTCATTTGGAATTGAAATTGAAGAATTAGGCTGAGTGCAGTGGCTCATGCTTATAATCCCAGCACTTTGGGAGGCCGAGTTGGGTGGATCGCTTGAGCTCAGAAGTTTGAGACCATCCAAGGCAACATGATAAAACCCCAGATACAAAAAATAGCTGGGTATAGTGGCATGTACCTGTATTCCCAGCTACTCAGGAGGCTGAGGCAGGAGGATCACTTGAGCCTGCAGTGAGCTGTGTTTGTGACACTGCCCTCTAGCCTGGGTGACAAAAACAAGACCCTATCTCAAAAAAAAAAAAAAAAAATTGAAGAATTAGTAAAACACTACAAAGTTTATGTTCTCTGTTTTATCATCTTGTTGAGATAATTTTTATTTAAAAACTTGAAATGTGGCTGGGCATGGTGGTTTAGGCCTGTAATCTCAGCACTTTGGGAGGCTGAGGAGGGTGATCACAAGGTCAAGAGATCGAGACCATCCTGGCCAACGTGGTGAAGCCCCGTCTCTACTGAAAATTACAGAAAAATTAGCTGGGCGTAGTGGTGTAGTCCCAGCTGCTCGGGAGGCTGAGGCAGAAGAATCACTTGAACCCAGGAGGCAGAGATTTCAGTGAGCTGAGGTCGCACCGCTGCACTCCAGCCTGGCGACAGAGCAAGACTCTGTCTCAAAAAAAAAAAAAAAAAAAATTGAAAAGTAACATTTATTCCAGATGAGTATGTTATATTGGCTAGATTTATTTAGCATGAATTAATTTGTTTTAAGAAAAACACATGAAACATAAATTTCATACTTGTCTGTCTTGTATAGGACCAAGCTACAGGACCCTCTGGTTTTATTTGAACCTGAGTCTCTGAGAATGGTTTTACAGGAGTGGCTTTCACATTTAGAAGAAGCATTTGCCATGAAGGACTTTTCAGCAGTTTCAGATACTGACAACTCATCCACGAAATCGAACCAGGATGTACTCTTGGTTAATGAATCAAAAAAAGGAATATTAGATGAACACAATGAAAAAGAAAAAAGGGACTCTTTAGGCAATGAAGAAACTGTTGATAAAACAGTATGTGAATGTGTAAGGAGTCCAAGGGAGCCTTTGGATGTTGACCTGTTTCAAATATGTTCTCCATGCACCATTCCAAGTGGTCTTCAGAATGACCTGGCTGAATTGACAACATTGTGTTTGGAGTTGAATGTATTGAATTCTAAGATCAAAATCACCAGCGGACATGTGGACCACACTTTGCAACAGTACTCTCCTGAGATTCTGGCTTGCCAGTTCCTGAAGAAATACTTTTTTCTCCTGGACTTGAAAAGAGTGAAGGAGAGTATCAAGCTTAGTTACACTAATAGCCCTTCTGTTTGGGATACTTTTATTGAAGGATTGAAAGGTAATAATCAAATTGCCTTATCAAAGATAGAAATTTGTATTAAAAAGCAGTAGCAGTTTTGAGTTTTGGGTTAAAAAGATTTAAGTAGAACATTACATCTGTTCTGATCAACCTGCAATTCTGTTTTTCATTCATTTTAACTTTTAATAGTTCTTCAGACATTGGTTAAATTTACAACTGGATTGTAAGAAATTATTTTATTTTGAGATAGATTTTCACTCTGTTGCCCAGGCTGGAGTGCAGTGGTGCCGTCTTGGCTCACTGCAGCCTCCACTTGCTTTTGCCTCAGCCTCCCAAGTAGCTGGGACTACAGGAGCACGTCACCACACCCGGCTAATTTTTGTATTCTTAGTAGAGACAGGGTTTTGCCATGTTGGCCAGGCTGGTCTTGTAATCCACCTGCTTCGGTTTCCCAAAGTGTTGGGATTACAGGTGTGAGCCACTGTGCCTGGCCCTATTTTTTATTTTTAGAGACAGGGACTCACTCTGTGCCCAGGCTGGAATGCAGTGGCGTCATGGCTCACTGCAGCCTTGACCTCTTGGGTTCAGGTGATCCTCCTGCCTAAGTTTTCTGAGTAGTGGGATTATAGGCATGTCCCACTATACCTGGCTGATTTCTTCATTTTTTTGTAGAGATGGGGTCTTACTGTGTTGCCCAGGTTGATCTTGAAATCCTGACCTCAAAGCAATCTTTCCACCTTAGTGTCCCAAAATGCTGGGATTATAGGTATGAGCCACCATGCCTGGCCCTAGAAATTAGTTTTATTTCTCTCATAATGACATTCAGAAAATAGCAGAGCAGTGTTGGAGAAGTTGAGGTTAAAGTAAAATGTTCATAGATGCAGATGTGTTAAAAGAAGAAAATCCCTCTTGTAACTTACTAATACAGAAATAATATACTATATAGTATACTTATTTTGTGCCAGATATCATGGTAAACACTTTTCAGCCTTGCCTCATTTCACCCTTACAATAATTTTTGGAGTAGATGGTGTAATTTCATTTTATAGATAGGGAATCTGAGGCACAGAGAGATCTTACTTAGGTAGCTAAATGGCTATAATAAATACGTCGTAGTAACACAGACATAAACAGAAGTGTATTTATTTTTATTTATTTATTTTTTTTTTGAGATGGAGTCTTACTCTTGTTGCCCAGGCTGGAGTGCAGTGGCACAATCTCGGCTCACTGCAGCCTCCACCTCCCAGGTTCAAGTGATTCTCCTGCCTCAGCCTCCCCAGTAGCTGGGATTACAGATGGCCACCATCATGCCCAGCTGATTTTTGTATTAGTAGAGACAGGGTTTGCCATGTTGGCCAGACTGGTCTTGAACTCCTGATCTCAGGTGATCCACCCACCTCTTCCTCCCAAAGTGCTGGGATTACAGGTGTGAGCCACCACATCCGGCAAGAAGTGTGTTGCCTGTGTAACAGTCCAGGACAAGTATTCCAGGTCAGTGGGTAGCTGTCTTCCAGGTGGTAATTCAGCATTCCAAGTTCCTTGCATTATTTTAAGCTCCAGCTTCCCTTAAAGGTTGTGCTTGTGTTTGGGTTGCTGTGTCCGGGAAAAGCATGTAGAACATGCTGTCTTACAGGCCTGGCCTGGTAGTAGCTTACGTCTCTTCTGTATACATTTCCATTGGTGAGAATTCTATCATATGGCCCCAACTAACTGCAAAGGAAACTGGGAAATGTAATCTGTCCAGGTGTCCAGGAGGAAAAGAATGACTGTAGGTGAAGAGCTTGCTTACATGTTTGCCTCAGAGACTTTGGTGCACAGCCAGCAGTATCTGCCTTGGCTGAAGGTCACACTATGTGTCATCCTGACATATAATAGAAACCAGCTCTCATACCCTAAAAACTATGCATTGCCTTTTCTGCAGCCATAGTCCCGTGTTTTCGAAGTGAATTTTAATTCCACATTCTAATAATTGATTTAGACTTTAAGCAAACTTTTCATTCATTACCAAAAGTGAATAGAGATACATTTTTATGTCATCTTACTTAAAGATATTTTAGCTTTCTAGAAACATGGATCTATAGTTATAGGTCTGCTTTAATTCAAATACAGCAGTTGAAAGCATAATAATTCTTTTTTCTGAGTTGAGGTATATTGTCTTTTGTGTGAAATAAGAAGCAAGTTATTTCTCCTCAGGTAGGTGTGACATTATTACTCATTATAAATTTACCGTATCTATCTCTGTGATGCTACGTGGTCACAGAAGAGCAGAAAAGAGTCTCTATTAGACAGAGTGATGGATATTACTACCAGTGCTGGCTAGAAGAAGCATGGTGGACCATTTGAGTGATGTGGCTGCTTACTTGAATTTAGGTGGATATGTCTGATTTAGCTCCCACACAGTCATAAGGCTTCCCCAAACCTCTCAATGGCTTCCTCCTCTGAATTCCTTTAAAGGACTTACTGCCTGACACAGTCAAATGGGAAGCAATGAGGTTGGGGGAAAAATGACTTTTTTAAAAAAGCATGTATCAGAAATTGAATGTTGGCTCTTAGAATCTGGTGAGTAGGCCTCACCCTTCTAATGTTATAATTATGGGAAGCAGCTTTTGGAACTGTTATTTGGGATTTGTCTTCAGAGCCGGTTGAAAACTACTTGCCCAGCCTAGGCATTGTAGCAAGACCCTGTCTCTACGTCTCTACACACACAAAACAAACACACCAGCTTATGCAATGTACCAAGACCCTGTCTACACACACACACACACACACACACACACACACACACACACACAGAGTCAGGAGTTCAAGGCTGCAGTGATCACCACCGCACTCCAACCTGGGTGACAGAATGAGACCCTGTTTCTAAAAAACTAAAACAGAAAACTTCTTGGAAAAAAGTAGGTTTTTTTTTTTTTTGCTTTAGATTCATACTTAAAAACAATAACAACAACAAATGGGGTGGGTGGGGAGTTGGGGAGAGTTAACATGGGGAGAAATGCCAGATATAGGTGATGGGGAGGAAGGCAGCAAACCACATTGCCATGTATGTACCTATGCAACAATCCTGCATGTTCTTCACGTGTATCCCACAACCTAAAATGTAATAAAATATATTAAAAAAAAAAAATAGTTCTAGATCATCACTTACTTCATTCACCAAACTTGATTTTAAATGACATTTGACTGTTCCGAAAAGTCAAATATTTTGTTCTTCAGAGAATGAATAGTTGTTATACAAATATCTTTAAAAACAGGTCCAATATTTTAAAATTAATTTCATTGAATTTAATTAATTTTAAAAGATGGAGTAAGAATACTAGTTCTAGAAAAAACTGAGCAACTTGGCATTGATAGTAGTGTATATTGCTTTGTGATGTGTGTATATATGGATGGTTGCTATGTATAGCCCTAGATACTCATTATTTTAAGAGTAATAGTCACTGATATATTAATTATATGTTCCTTTGTCTTATTTAAAACTTCCAATATGCTTTGCCTCCATTTGATTTTAAGATTCTTAAAAGAAGAGATGCAGCTCTTGTTCTTTTGTTTCTCCTACAATGCTTAACAAACTCTAGGCCTTTCACATAGTAGGTCCACACAGTAGGTATGTGACTAATGATTGCTGAATGAACATGTTCATAAATTGAATATTTCCACCCAAGAGATAAAGGAAAAGGATATGCTTTATATTTCAGAAATGGCAAGTTCCAATCCTGTGTATATGGAGATGGAAGAAGGAGATCTCCCAACAAGACTTAAGTTACTAGATGCTGCAGTTCCTTTTGACAGTCCAGTGTTGATTGCTTATGCTACCAGGTAAGTTGTCCTATATGTTGTTTATATGGACTAAAGCACATGCATTTGTGTGTATTTTAGTCTCTAACGTTTTACTCATTTGCATATGAGGCAACTTCTGTTACCATATTTATTTTCATTTGTAATAAGTAACTCAAATGTAACCAAGTTATATCATTTCACTGGAATTAGAGACCAAAGTGTTTTCTTTTTAAATGCAGGTTATATGAGAAGTTTGGGGAATCTGCCCTTCGATCCTTAATCAAGTTCTATCCATCCATTTTGCCATCGGATATCATACAACTTTGTCATCATCACCCTGCTGAGTTTTTGGCCTATTTAGACAGTCTGGTGAAATCAAGGCCTGAAGATCAGCGGTGAGAAGGAGAGCATGTTTGCAGACTCTTCTTTCTTTTGATAGGGCATTGTTTCTCTTTTATAAACAGGTGTCACATTTTTACTATTAATTACCAAGGGCACCTACTATGGAAGAGGAGGATTTGGGCAGCCTTGTAACATTCTGCCACATGTCACACCACACATCACAGATGTGCATGTACCACACTTCTTTCCCTCCCTCTCAGGGATTCTCAGATCAGTGCAAAATTAAACCCTTGATTCAGGGCCTGGACTAAGAAGATAAGCTTCTTATTGTCTTTGCAGTGAGTGGATTCACTGCCACCTTTTTATTGCCATAGATATCAGTTCCAGCTCTTCTCTTTTTTAGGCTGATGTCTGATTTTCTGTCTCCCCATGCTTGTTACACTTGTGATCTGTGCCCCTGGCTTATTAGACTTGCAGCTTCCTCCTTTTGATTGGTTCATATTTGCCACAATGTTGCCCAAGCTGGATGCAGTAGCTATTCACGGATGTTATCATAGCATACTGCAGCCTCAAACTTATGGTCTTAGTGATCTTCCTACCTTGGCCACACTGGTTTTTATTTGTTTCTCTCTCTCTCTTTCTCTTTCTCTTTCTCTCTCTCTTTTTTCTTTTTTGGTCCTTTGACATTTTTCTTGTTATCTTGGAGCTTAGTCTCCAGTATTTCTAGACACTTCTTTTAGCAGAAGAGTTTTCAAGTTATTTAATCTACTGTATTCATCTTTTAATCAGGTTTTCTTCACACTCCCCACATTTTATGTTTCCTTTCTTAGTGTGAAGATTGATGACTTTTTCCCCCAACTTTCTCTTAGGTCATGTTTTCTTGAGTCCCTTCTGCAACCAGAGTCTTTAAGGTTGGATTGGCTGCTTTTGGCAGTGTCCTTTGATGCTCCACCAATCACCAGCATAATGGATGATGAAGGTTATCCCAGGTACAGAAGAAGTCCTCTTTCTTTCTTTCTTTTTTTTTTTTTTTTTTTTTTTATTTTGAGACAGGATCTCACTCTGTCACCCTAGGCTGGAATGTAGTGGTAAAATCATGGCTTCCTGCAGACTTGACCTCCTAGGCTCACTCGCCTTAGCTTCCCACCTTAGCTTCCTGAGTAGCTGGGAATACAGGAGCACACCACCTTGCATGGCTCATTTTTTGTACAGTTGGAATTTCACCCTGTGGCCCAGGCTGATCTCAGTCTCCTGGGCTCAAGCTATCTACCTGCCTTGGCCTCCCAAAGTGCTGGGATTACAGGCATGAGCCACTGCACCTTGCTAGGAGTCTTCCTCCTAAGGATTCAGCTTCAGTGGTCCTTTGGAATGGAACTGGTTTATCCACATATGGCATTCTGGGCTCACTTTAGGAATAGCTATGGAAGAGACTGACCCAAGTTATGGTAGTAATGAGATTAAGTGTATTTCTTAGTGGCTCTGAAATATTTTTGGGTCACCCTATAAGAATCTGATGATTCCTTTTAGAAAAATGCAGTCATGCAAAATTTTGCACAACTGACCCCTTGCAGGTTTTTCATGGACCCACATTAAGAGACCTTGATGATTAAGCCTGCAAGAGGATTAAACTGGGTGGTGGTGGTGGGGTGGGGGCGATTAGGGAGATAAGTATGTGTGTGTTTTCTTCCTAAAAATTTGTCAAGGAATTTCTGGACATAACCTAATTTAGGACTTTAAAAAAAAATAAAATTCAAAAGAATTACACACTGCTACTTGTGTCAGAACTATTCCTTTCTTTTTCCCCCAGGAGAAGCTCCTTAAAAGACCCCCAAATGCCTTTCTTATATTTATAGCAAAAAGTCTGGAAGGATATGCAGTGATTATCTGTGAGTGATGGAATTATAGAATTAAAAGAAAAAAAAAAGAATTTATTTCTTTTGCTTTTGATTACCTAAAGTCTCTAATCTTTAAAAATAAAGAGGTTATGGGCCGGGCGCAGTGGCTCAAGCCTATAATCCCAGCACTTTGGGAGGCCGAGGTGGGTGGATCCCGAGGTCAAGAGATCGAGACCATCCTGGTCAACATGGTGAAACCCCGTCTCTACTAAAAATACAAAAAAATGAGCTGGGCATGGTGGCGCGTGCCTGTAATCCCAGCTACTCAGGAGGCTGAGGCAGGAGAATTGCCTGAACCCAGGAGGTGGAGGTTGCGGTGAGCTGAGATCGCGCCATTGCACTCCAGCCTGGGTAACATGAGTGAAACTCCGTCTCAAAAAAAATAAATAAATAAATAAAATAAAATAAAATAAAAATAAAGAGGTTATAGGAAAATAGCTATTTTTAATTTTTCAAAAGCCAAATAGAAGTGTTTTAATAGATTGTAATTAAATTCTGTTCTTACCTATTAGGTGATTAATAAGCACTTTCTACAGTTTATTTCCTATCTAATTTACTGATACTTTTTCATTTCATAGGCCTCATTCACACTTGCTTTCTTGGGGTTACAGTCAGCTGATCCTTCATCTAATTAAACTTCCTGCAGAGTTTATAACCAAAGAGAAAATGATTGACATCTGCAGGTCTTATGGGTAAGTGAGAATTTTCTTAGAAACTGAAGTTAAGATTAGAAACACTTCAGTTAACAACCTTACAGTTAAGGGTCTTAATTGATATACATTATTATTTGGGGATTCTTTTTGCTGTGTAAAAGTACCTTTTTGTTTTAAGTGATAGTAAATTAAACATCTTTTTCCCTTTTAAATTTCATGTTTTTTTTGTTTTTTTTTTTTGGTGTGTGTAGCCCTTCCTAATTCCTCTCCACTCCCTCTGCTTTAGTTGCCAGCCCCAGTTCTCAGGCATGTAGATAGTATTTAATTAAGCATCAGATTATGTGATACCAATTATAATTGATACAGGCCTTTATAATTAATACAGTAAGAGAGAGATCAGAATGGGCTCAATAGAATCACTGGTGAAGGACTCAGAGAGGAGGTGAGATTTTGGAGATAAAACCTAAAACCTGGGTAGGATTTGTATTTATAAAGGAGCTAGGAGAGGGTGAGTTAGGTGAGAGAAACAGAGCAAGAGCATGGAAAACTGACATTGCTTATTACCCACATCACACTTCAGTCATTTATTGCCTGGTGATGTTGTCTTACAGTTCCACCTGGATTATAATCTTTTGGAGATATAGGGACTTGTGTCCTTTTCCCTCATAGTGTCTATATCTAATTTGTATAGTGGTAGGCACTTGATACATATTTTGTTCATTGATAATGAGACTGAGACTGGCCAGGTGGTGGGTGACAAGATCGTGCAGGACCTTGAAAGCTGGCAGAAGAATTTAGTTGTCAGTAGAGACCTTTTTAGACTTACGGTGCAAAAATTGCATAAGGAAAGTGGAGCTTTCTAGAGATCATTTCTGATGTCATACATGAGAAGGTCGGAGACAGAAGGCCAGCTAGGAAGCTGTTGTAGTAATTCAGACATGAGTGGATTGGTGATTAGTAGGGCAGCAAAAGGAGCACATCTAGTGGGCATTTCAAAGGAAAATGCAGTGGGGTATGCTGATACTGGATATAGCAAATGAAGGAGGGGGAAGAGTCAAGGAGGACTTCAAAGTTTGCATATTTGGAGAAGAAATATGCTAGGTTTGTGTTGCATTTTAAAGTTTATAAAGTGAATAAAGCTTAAATGCCTTATAATTGGAGCTTGGCCTCAAATGTCAGCATTTGCTGCTTTTTTTTTTTTTTTCCTTAAATTCTCTAGATCAGCCAGGCGCAGTGGCTCATGCCTGTAATCCCAGCACTTTGGGAGGCTGAGGCGGGCGGATCACCTGATCACTTGAGGTCAGGAGTTCGAGACCAGCCTGAACAATATGGTGACACCCCCGTCTTAAAAATAAATAAAAATATATATATAAATAATAAATATATATATAAACAAATAAATAATATATTTATATAAATATATATATATATATATATTTTTTTTTTTAAGTTAAAAAAAAGAAAAGAAAAAGAAATTCTCTAGATCAGGGTCACCTAACAGAACTTTCTGTGATAGTGGAGATATTCTACTGAACTGTCCAATGGTGGCCACTAGCCACATGTAGCCATTAAGTACTTGAAATGTGAATATGTTAACTGAAAACCTGACACTCAGATGTTATTTACCTTTTTTTTTTTTTTTTTTTTTTTTTTTTTTTTTTT